ACATGTTTATATGAACATACATGTACATGTTTATATGAACATACATGTACATGGAAACAATGATAAAAGGAATGCCTATGTGTACAGGTAAGTTGTTAAAGCTTGCATGTCTGACTTGTGGTGACTTGTGACTGACTTGTGACTCTCTTGTGGTGATTTGCGACTGACTTGTGGTGATTTGTGACTGAGTTGTGGTGACTTGTGACTGACCTGTGGTGACTTGTGACTGACTTGTGGTGATTTGTGACTGACTTGCCGACAAAGTACCGGTACCGGGTACCAGTGACAAGTACAATAGCATGACGGGAAATGAGGGTGAATTTAAGAAATACAATGGAGCAAGAAGCCTCATAACCCCCCACCACCATTTGACATTGTAATTCTAATTGTTAGATTCCAATTTTAATAAGCCTCGCAGTGCCTCTGGAAGGGATATCATTTTTCCTGCAGGGTTGTTGCTATGGCTACCATAACTTACCATACATGTATGTGATTCCCACAGAAGCATGGGTTATGTCGGGGAGAAACAATGCAATCTGTGTTTGGTATCCTTACATGTACATGGTACCTGCATGAGCAAGCCAATCAGCTTGATGCGTACACAACAGAAAGCATTACAGTCAGCAATACCGTTTTAGAACCTGGTACAAAGTTACGCACAAAATGTACAGGTGCACCTTTACAGGTACATGCACAGTACTGTTACTGGTGTTGGTACGTGCTGTAGTTTGTATACAAACTGTGCATACATACATGTACATGCTACAAATGCACATGGTTGGTATTGTATTCCATCCTGAGTTGGCTTACAAGTTGCATGTAATTGCCTGTAAAGAAATGTACATGCTACAAATGCACATGGTTGGTATTGTATTCCATCCTGAGTTGGCTTACAAGTTGCATGTAATTGCCTGTAAAGAAAATTCATAAATAGAATAACTCTGGAGGGTACAGTAAATATGTACAAGATTGGCAATATTGCACTTGTACATGTAATTATGTAGCCAGTATATACAAATAGTGTATGTACGTGTACATCGTATAAGTTTTATCCAAATGTTGTACATGTAACAAGGATTACTGGTACACTGTACCAGTACATTGTCATAAGTGAAATTGATGAATATAGACCTTTAGTTTATTTTCCTGGAGTGTTGCTGTTACATC